ATGTATAAGTTTGTTTGATCGTACTGCATAAGGACAAACTAAAGCATAAAGCTCAAAATTTTCTTTCCATTTCGTTTTTAGTGTTTCTTCTATTGCAGAAATATCAACCATATTTGTAAGCCGACGAAGCTGAAAAACAAATATTATTACTTTTTAATAATAAGTTAAAAATTATTTACAGTAAACTATGGATATTTTACCTGGTATGGTATCCTTAAATCTGGTTTATCTGTACCATACATTTCCATTGCTTCATTAAATGTGAGTCGTTTAAAAGGAATAGTTAATGGATACGATTCTTCAGGCCAAGAGTACAACAACAAGTTTTCAATTAGTTCCATTATTCCTTCACAATTAACAAACGACATTTCAATATCCAGCTATAAGAGATATATTTATGAAGAATAATTTTTGATCTGTAACATAATATACTTACAAGAAGATACGTACTTGTGTAAATTCAGGTTGTCTATCATGCCTAGTAGTTTCATCTCTGTAACATTTAGCAATTTGAAAATACCTATCAAAGCCACCAACCATTAATAGTTGCTTAAACTGTTGAGGACTCTGTACCAGTGAATAAAATTGTCCTGGATGTTGTGTTGGAACAATGAATTCTTGAGCCCCCTGTATATATACATATATATACGATCATAAATATTTAAAAAATTTTAATATAAAGGTGATTATAAAAATAATTATTTACTACAATCTATACAACATTTCAGCACACATACTCCGGGAGTACTTTTAAATAACGTTGGTGTTTCCATATCCACAAAACTGCATTCTTTAATTAAGTATTCCCTCATCTTTGCTATAACTTGGGAACGTAATCTTAGATTTCTTTGCAATTCAGGATATCTTAAAGACAAATATCTATATTTCATTTGCGTACTCTCCTTTGCTTTATTAAATTCTCTAATGAAGAACGGCATATTTGATTTGGCTGGATTTAGATTTTCCAAGGATTCTATTAGCACCTCAATATCTCCAGTTTTCATTTTATTGTTCTTTTGTCCCTTCGGTCTTTCATGCACTGTTCCCACTATATGTAATACACTCTCAAAGGTTATATTTTTAATCATTTCTATCAAATCTTCTCTCTAAGGCAAATGTAAAAATATATTATAATATCAAATATGTTGTAATATCATGAACATTATCTTACATTATCTGGTACTAAAAGTTGTGTAGAACCATAAGCATCTCTCAGTGTTATAAATTTGTTCAATCTTTGAAATTCCAGCCAGCCATACATGTGTACCCTATCGCCTACATTTTGAATATTAAGTTCGCCACACGTGTGAGTCCTTGAAACAAATTTGTTAACAGGATGTACATTAACTTTCGTTATTTGTTTTTCAATAGCCAAATCATGAGTACAAGCTATTAAGATTGAACAGTATTTTTTCATAAGCTGAAATAAATTACATACAAATAAATTGTACAAGCTGATCGAAAGTTATAATAAATGTTAGGACTTACTTTATGTTTATATAAATGATTTGTACAAAACAATTTGCAAAATTGTTTCTTTGGTATAAGATTATTTCGGAAACTAAACATCTTATTTATAATTAATAAATTAATAATGTTTATGAATATTATATGACGTGATTAAACGTATTTTATTGATTTCATGTCACTTATACAAATAAAATTCAATATTTCAATTATTTACTACTTAAGTGAAGATTGTATATGATGTTAGCTTTTTACAAAACGTATTTATAGGTGTACACAGGTTTCCTGATGTTGACAGTGATACCACGTGACACCTCAGCTATAAAGGCAGTACCTACATGTCTACGCTTTGCTTATCGCGCGAAAGGGTAGTACATAGACTTGAAATTAGGTCCATGGCTACGGCTACACATAGTTGCCAAAAGTTATCAAAACAACAGTTTTTTAAAGTTCTATTAAATGAATATTTTATATTTATTAAACAGTTCATGTAGATAGAGTCGAAGCTCTGAGCCCTTCAAGATAGGAAGTCATAAATCCTCAGTCAAGGACCTTTCGCATCTTTCTCTCGTTCAGTCTATAAGCCCGAAATTTTCGTGTGTACACTCTACAACTCTCGCTTTAGCGAGTCTTCACCCTTGCGCGTCGTTCAAATCCAACGCATCCTAACTTTCGTGGGTGCGCTGTCAAGGCACTACTACCACCAAACATTATCGAGCTGCAACCAAAAGTCGGTTCATCCAATGAATTAGTGTTCATCTAGAAGACTTTTTATTGTCCAAGGAGAGGAAGGACGGGAAAGGCTGGAATATATGTATACATAGTTCTCTAGCTGACCGTTACATTTAGATAGAGTTCGCTATCGTACCAAGTTCAGATTCAGTCTTATCCTTTCAATCTATGTACAATTTTTTTTTACAATCCCATCATTTTAGTTTTTTCCCCTGTATACAATTACCGTCTTACATATAGACTGTCTTCTAACATTAACTTGTATAATCATAAAATCATTCTATTACAATCTATATGCTTTTACTTGTAAACAAAGCCGCGGATTGAATTTTCACTAAGGAAAAAGTTACATGCATACTTCGAATGTGACCTCGGGAACCTTTCATTTCTGCATTGCGAGACATTTTTGGGACACTCCGTATATTTTTCCTAAATAAGGAAGCTGGTTAGCTGCTTACTATAGTGATGGTTTCCCTGGTTCTTGTTTTTATTTTGTTAAACTATAATCTATTCTTGATCATTTTTTTGCTTCCATATTTTATCAAAATAGATGGTTCCTTTTTGCTTTCCTATCTCCTCCAATTCTTTCCCTATTTGGTCCTAATTATGTATCTTTTTTGCTTTCGTTAGTAAGGTTTGATATTGGAACTCTTATCACGTCGTTTACTTTTATCCCGACCTGAGCGGGCTATCGTAGTCGGTAATTCAGACTCTGACACAAAAAAAAAAACATTGTATGCAATGTCTATACGTATTACGTATCCTAAGTCTGTGCCTCCAAAGCTGAGACAGAAAAGCCCGTATAATGCAATGCTGTACGGATTCTAAGACTGTGCCACTGATGTTGAGCGGTGTCGGTATTTCAGAATGTACGATGCGAAACCTCATATGAATGCTTCGTCTATCCTGATACCTCGTCTATGGACATAACATATATGTTATATTCACGTGTTTAGATTCCGACTTATGAATTGCTACACATTGTGTATATATATTTAATAAATGTGATTAATTTTTACGTACGTGTTTATCGCTCATAACTTATTNGAGCGGTGTCGGTATTTCAGAATGTACGATGCGAAACCTCATATGAATGCTTCGTCTATCCTGATACCTCGTCTATGGACATAACATATATGTTATATTCACGTGTTTAGATTCCGACTTATGAATTGCTACACATTGTGTATATATATTTAATAAATGTGATTAATTTTTACGTACGTGTTTATCGTTAATAACTTATTAATTACAACACAAACGTAAAATACAGGTTTATGTAACTAAGTACTTTAATGGTCCAGAATGGTAATCTTTAATATATTCGTTCAGAAATATTCTTTTATACATAATTGTATTTTCTCTGATTTTAATAACTTAACTGACACCTCATTTGATTTTTATAGGTGTAATATCAATTAGTTTTCAACCTGTGTAAAATAATATTTAAGGTATCAGCTTGTATATG